TCGTGAAGTCCACCTTTGTTTATGCTTTTTTTTTTTTTCTTCATACTTTTTCATCGCTTCACTTCTTTCCTTTCTGTCACAATCTCACATGGAAGTTCTCCTTCTTGCTGTAACAAGTTTCTATACAAAGACTTGGTGGTGATCTGGGAGAGCAGATGTAAATTCAGATTGTTTGTGTACACTAGTTACTCTGCACTGTGAATTTTATCCTCTTGTTAAAACTAAATGAAAAAACTTCAGGTTGCTAGTACGTGTCATCAAACTATGAGATCTACAGCAAATACTGGTTTTAATGAAAACTATGCTGAGATGAAGTGGACAGACGGTATCTTTAAGGGAGGAAAAATGACTGGAACGTTGAAAGCATCTGACCGATAAGCTTCAGTTTCAGATTTCCACTTGAATTCTACATTTCTTAAGCTTAGAAAATGGACAGCTTAGGCATTCAGACAACTGTGATTCTGTTCTTTCATGATAAAGTGAGGAGAAAATATATGTATGTCTAAAGTAAGAAGAGTTGCTTTGTTTCTGATTACAGGCAACAAAACGCCTTTTAAAAATAGAAGCAAGTTTATCTCTGTGTGCTAGAAAGGTGCATTTATTTCTTACTCTCAATATTAACTGTATCTTATAAAGTGAAATAAGTTGCCATGTGGCACTTGCACTAAAATATGTTCAGGAATAGTTATTTTGGAATAGGTTGCTCAATAAAACATTTTTTCTGGCCAAGGATTTTAAGTGTTTATTTGTATGTTACATACATGGTACTGTGAACAAAAGGAAAAATAGTTCTGAGCTCTGAAGAAAATGTGTAGTTTAGCAGTATTTCTAGAGCAATATACCAACTCTGTTATCACATAGTTAGAACAAACAATAAATAAGTATTAGAACAGTTGAACCATTTGAGTCTTCCCTGCCTGTTTTATAGCACATGCTGTCATAATGTACCTTTATCTGTTCTGCATTCATGAGTCATCCTGAAAAGGTTATGAGACAGAAAACCTTTCCCACTCTCCAGTTGCCAAACAAAGCTGTGATAGATAGCAAGGCTACTGGATAGCAGGGTCATCTTTGATTTCTGTGATGTCCCAGCCGAAGAACTAGTGTCTAACAGCAGATAAAATCATTTCAGGAGAAAAGAAGAGCTTGTTTTAGTCAATGGAGCATTCAGAGAGTGCCAAGCAATTTCACTTACATAAATTGTATAATTGCAGGAACTGTGTGTTGGTATCTCAGGCAGAGCAGGCAAGAATATCAAAGTCCAAAGAACATGACTTTTCTGTTATTAAAAATAATGAACATGACAGAGGATATCTCTTGGTAACTTAAGATTTGGGAGTTAACTAATGCACGTAAATGTGCTTTCCCCTGACTGTGCAAATGAAGTAGAACTTTGTGTGTTTAGCGTTACTAAAACGAGTGATTTGCATTACAGGAGGAGGTAGAAGAACTAACAAGCAGAAGAATCTATTTTTTTTTCTTACTGTCAAGCAGAAGAATCTATTTTTAAAAAAAATTTTTAATTTTTTTTTTTTTACATATGGGTAAACTCTGGAAAAGTGAGGTTAAAAGGGAGCTTTAGGGCTTTAGGCCTCCCACAAATTCTGAAGTGACTACGAACCAGTCCATTTTAAGAAAGGAATCACCTGATGGACAAGGACAGGTTTAGACTAGAAGCTTTTGTTTTTTGCTTGTTGTGATAAATGATTAAAATTCCTTGATGCTGTTAATGGGAGCTATGAAACAGTCTGAAATCTTTTGCTGAGCTTCAGTATTGGTCTCTTATGTAAGAATAAAAAGAATTGCATGATGATGTAGATATACTGGTTATAAGATGCTGAGTCTAGAAAGGCTATGGAGACATTGAGGTTGTGAATGGAGGTGATCTGCAGTTCAGAGTTAGACATGTGACATGAAATTGAGGGCTGTGAGTGATGATATGTCCTGCTACTTGCCTTGTGCAGTTCCAGCTTCACTGGATCTGATTTTAACTTTCCTCTCAGACTACGTGATCTGTATGTGTACCCGTTACGGCTTTGATGTCAGTCGTCACATTCAGCTAGATTGCTCCTATCCAGGGAGGCTGCAGAAAAAAGCATCAGTGGTGATTTGGAAGGGGAAGCAGTGACAGTTTCCCCCTGCTGGTGTTTTAGAACAGAAAAAGATAAGTGTACTTGAATGAGATTTACTACAACAGTCCTACCAATCCAATTGCGATATTCAGTTCTATGCTATTATATAAGGTAACTTATTTATTCAAAGGGTTTTTGTTATAGCAAAGCTTTGGAAAATGGGAAAAGCGGGGAAGAAAATAAAGAATAGGAAGAAAAAGTGACAAGGGTAAGTGACAAAATGCCTCTTTGTTAGTATAAAAGAAATTAAGAAATCCTGAAACAATTTCACAAGTAGGTTTTTGAGACTGAGACAATACTTTAACACTGTGGTCAAACTGTTGTTTGAGCAATTACCTTTTTGCTTAAGATTTCCAAGCTTAGACTAGTTGGGAATTAAGTAGTAAGCCTGTTGGAAGCAACGGGAGACATGCTCATCCGATGATGATTACAAGCCTCAGTTTATTTGTACATTTTTATGACTTATATAATAGAGTTAATTAGCTCATACATATTGCAACAGCCAAGCTCCTTATAGGTTGCTAACATTAGTTACTTATCATGCCCGACAGCCAGATGCGGTCAGCCTGTTTGTACTGGCATTTTTGTTGATACAAAACCTAGCTTCAACCCCACATCCGCTCAACCAGACACTTCCCCAAATCCACGCGACCCAGGCGCGTTTCACATTGCCTCCTGACACACAGTTACATCCAAGCAGTTCTTGCAGCCGTGTCTTCATGTCTCTCGTTACGTAGCCGACTTCCCAAAATACCTTCCACATAAGCCTATCTTACTTTGTGCTACTGGAAAAAGGAGGGGGGAAAAAAAAAACATCCTTACCCCAGAGACATGACTATTTCAGTGACAAGTAAAGTTGTCATATATAAATAGAAAAGACCTCCAAGAACCCTGCGGGCCTGTTCTGCGTTCACAGAAGGTTAATTGCTTTACTGATGTTGTGGTTAGAAGTGTATTATGATTAGAGCCTGGCCCTCCTCTCCCATAGGTAGAAACCGCAGCTGTAGCTGCCTTGATTAAAGAGCCTTCTCCAATTATGGAGTCTCTTTCAGTAGAGTACTATCAACCTTTAATAGATGAGCTTTATTTAAAGTCTTACACTGAAAGACATGTTTCCTATCCCTTAATGCTTCCTCCTCAGAACCAGCCCACGCTTTTCACAGAAGAACTCTTTTACAAAATGGACCAAAAAAAAAAAAAGTTTCTGCATGAAGGAATTTCTCACATCAAAGCTGACATGGAAAAATCTTCCCTACAACTTTTCTGTCTGGAAGCTCTTCCCTTTATTTAAAGTCTTACACTGAAAGACATGTTTCCTATCCCTTAATGCTTCCTCCTCAGAACCAGCCCACGCTTTTCACAGAAGAACTCTTTTACAAAATGGACCAAAAAAAAAAAAAGTTTCTGCATGAAGGAATTTCTCACATCAAAGCTGACATGGAAAAATCTTCCCTACAACTTTTCTGTCTGGAAGCTCTTCCCCATCTT